TTTACGTTTACGGTTTAGGTTAGGTACGGTACGTACGTACGTACGTACGTACGTACGTACGTACGTAGTAGTACGTTACGTAACGTAAGTAATAGTACTACTACTACTCTCTCTCTCTCTCTCTCTCTCTCTCTCTCTCTCTCTCTCTCTCTCTCTCTCTCACACACACACACACACACACACACAGATGTATGTAGGGAGATCATGTTCATATCAGGGCCATTTAGTCTCAGTCTCTCTTCATCTTCCTCAAAGAGTATAAACTTAGGAAGCAGCCCCTGGTTGCTTCTTATACCACACTAACCTGCAAACTCTGCTCCATAAGATACATGTTCCTATGATAATGACACCTCCATGCATTCGTGTTTTTTTTATTTTTGGAGACGCTGGTAGTTTCATCTCCTCGAGTCACAGCTGCTCTGATTTCCTTTTAACTTAATTCATATGAAAGTCGTAATCTACTATCTACTGGCCTTTTACAACTCTTGATTTCTTTCATTCTATTGGTCTTTAAGGAAGCCTGAACGTCGTGGTGACTTTGATCTCTGACTTTTGACAGGCGCCATACAATTTGCACGATCAGAAGGTCTTATACCGGCTCCTGAGCCCACTCATGCCATTGCTGCAGCAATAAGGGAAGCGTTAGCCTGCAAAGAGACTGGAGAGCCAAAGGTTATCTTAATTGCTATGTGTGGGCATGGACATTTTGACTTGCCATCTTATGAGAAGTATTTACAGGGAGAAATGGTCGATCTCTCTTACTCCGATGAGAAGGTTCAAGCTGCTTTAGCAGATATTCCACAAGTTTGATTTTGAAAGCACGGTACCCAAATGGAAATCTGGACCATATGAGGATTTCAATCAATAGCTATGAACATTGGCAGAGCATCGTTTGATGATGTTGGCAGTTTCTCAAGAACGAAGCATGAGTACTCAAACCAATTTTCTAATAGCTATAGTCATAGAATTTGAAGCTCTTTGGAGAGATTAAAACCAGAGTTATGGTTATGTTTCCACAGGGAGGCATTTATTAGGCTCATTGAATTGTTTGAATTTGTGATTTGTGTTGTTATTGGGAAAGCATCCTCCTGATTTCATTTGAGACCTTGGTATGCGCTAAGGGCTTTGCAGAACATATACTCAAATTGGACAGTCTCTGTTCGCAACGTGGGAACTTGGTACTCAAATGTCTCTGAATTGCAGTTAAGGATCTTGGAAGAAGACTAAATGAGCTTTAGTGCCAATAGAATTTTGCCAATATTCACACCATTGTGACTTTTTTTCTGTATTTTCCTGATATTTAGATCCAAAATTCTGCCAAATATCCATTTTCAGTCAATTTTTTTGCTTTAATTTTCAGGAAATATATTATCGATACTGAATATCAATAGAACCCAAGCCTAATATAAAAATTGGAATTGTTCGGTAACCTGCAGTGGAAAATGTCTCAGGTGGCACTTTTGTGTGTTGATACACCGGATATCTTTGGTTTTTTAGCAAAAGAAAAAGTTTATATAAGGTTGCAACCTTAAAATGTAAAATTACAGATGCACATCAAAGTCTATCGAAAATTGATCATCTAGATATTGAGATATAAGAATACAAAAAAAAATTAGATTTTGAGTGCAAGAAATAGTGCATCTTGCAACACATTATTTAGGCTGTCCATTTTTCAAGATTTCATATGTTTATAGATCTATTTGATTTTAACTATTTTTTAAATTAAATTTTTTATAATTATTTATGAAAATAGATTTTAAGATAATCTTAAGAATATTTTATAATAAAACTAGATATTATGATAAAATTTAGAGGTGCGTCTTAATTGGATTGTTTAAGGTTGCCACTTTATAAAAACCACACCTATTTTTTAAATATAGTTTAATCCTAATTTTTAGAGATCATGAATATGATTTTTTTAAAAAAAATAGCAATAATAATTATATTAACAAAACATTTGGACGGTTTTTAGATGGACCATTTATTTGCATCCATCTTTAAGATGGATGCCTTATACCTCTAGATTGCATATTGTAGAAATGCAGTCGAGCCCGCATGAAACAATTTTCCTTTTAAGAATGGATTTTGTAAGGGACTGCACACGTACATATGAGTTGGTCGACTCACCACACTTCACTTGGTAATGTGGTCTTCTTCACTGTAGTCTTTCTTCAGTGTTCTCTAATATGGATCCCTAACTTTGGAGGCAAATGGTTCCCTAACGTTGGCCTTGCTTCCATGGCTTTGCATATTCTCTCGTACCTCGTGACAATTATGACAATTATCTATCAACCGTGAGATGTTTTATTGAGCTATTTTTTGAGATTTTTTAAGGGATTGTCTATAAAGAGACCATTTATCTTTTGTACATGGAAGTTACAATCATTCCCACTGATTAGATATCAAATCAAATGGTTGGGGTGAATCACGAAGTCCAAAATTTTGTTTTTGAATTTTGTTTTTATTCAATGATACTCTTACAACCACCCATTTTGAAATTTAAGAGATAAGAATGATTGTGACTTATATGTACAAAATAAATATCTCTTTGTAGCTATAGTATATTATGCTAAATTAATATATTGTTCTATTATATGTAATTATTTTTGTTTGAGATTGATAAATATGAATCCAAATTATACACATTAAGAACATAAACATATTAAAAAACTGTCAAATGGCAAAAGGTGACACTAACTTTTAACTATATCAATTTTTTAATATCAAAATTTAGTCTTTAATAGGGTGTAGTTTGTATAGAGCCTAGGCTCTAAATAATCAAATTAGAGCCTACTTTCAAATAGTGTCGAAAAATGTGGTTTCAATATTGGAAATCTTTATGATAGCCTTAAAATATAGTTTCATATTTATTTATAAAATTTAAAGCTTAAAAAATAGTGTAGATTGATGTATCTATGAGAACTTAAAAATCTTAAAAATCGACGGTCCAAATTTTTTATGCATTACAAAATAAACTATTTCAAAAACTTGCAATTTATTTTTTTCTCTTGTCCATGCATCTTGATGTCAAGTTGATCAATTTGAAGGCATTTGGACATCAAAATAACCTCTTCTAGTGCAATTTTTGAAATAGGCTCAAATTTGATTATTTAGAGCCTCAACTCTATATAAACTTGTCCCTTAAAAAATATATTTATTGCCAAGCCTGCATTTGGGCTGGCCGCAAAGAGTGTCCTAAACAGGAATCTTATACCCAATATTTTGAAATTCGATAATTGAAACTATGATGATATTTATGAGTTCAGATTTTTTTATTTGGGTGTTGGTGGAATTTGTTGTCCACCGTCCATTTTGATATATACCAGTACCTTTTTCTGACGCCCATCTCTAAGATGGTCATGCATAGGGTAGAGGCACATGTTTTGGTGAGTCTGCTGACTCACCAAAACCGTGTCCATCAGAGAAGTCATATCTTTCACATCCATCTCAAAACAATCAATTCTCGTAGGTGCATATTAGTTCAAAGGTCCCATTTTCGCACCCAAAGTAACTTCAATCAGAAGGACAAGAACCCATCTATAAATGAATATAGAATTTCCCTCTTGTGATTTTGCATACATAACGGTATCAAATTTCCCCCTTGTGATTTTACATACATAAAGTGAGACGTGTATCTGCACGCGTGCGCGCGTGCACACACACACACAGTCTGTGTGTGTGTTTTAAAAAGCATTAAGTAGCCAAAATCAAGCATTTGCTTCACATCCATCTGGGCGCACGTTGAAGTGGCCTGAGGGCCAGGATGAAAAATTGTATGGTCCCACTGAACAATCAGAATGTATGAGGAAAAGATTCACACAAATCAGTCGCAAATATACCCTGATACGCATACTCTCTCTCCAATCAGTCAAATACATCACTAAGATATAGTCCAATTCAAAACAGAGCCCCATCAATGGCTCAACCCAAGAAAGAAAGCATAAAAGAAAAAAAAAAAAAGTGTAAATAGTCTTCTGACCAGAAGATCCCCTGTGTAGTTAAGAGCTCAAGACAAACCTCGGTAGCCTCTCTCTCTCTATCTACCTACCTACGAGGAGGGTTGCCACCACCTCCTCGTGGTGGCATCTCATAAGCTCCAGCTCGATTAGGTGGGGGTGTCGATCCATACGAGGGCCCATTTCCAGGGGTAGCTTGGGCTTGGGCTCCAGGCCCACCTCTCGCTGGTCCATCATATGCACCAGCTGCTCCTCTTGTTGCATCGTAGGCAGCTCGAGCAGGCGCACCAGGACCAGATGCAGGCCCACTAGGCATGGCTCCACCATATGGGCCAGTGTTACTGGGTGGTGGTCCACGTGCCTAGATAAACACATGGCATAAGTGCATATAAGAATGGTGCCCGAAAAGAACTGGTAAGAAAGCAAATGCGCTTCCCTTTCTTTGTTTGCTTCATTTTTTTCTTTTGGTTCTGTTATTTTGGTTCAAGGCTCACTAGGAGCCTTTCAATACAAGATATAATTCTATAAGCCAACGAACTCATCATCATCATTATCAGAGCTTTTTCCTAACTTATAAGCCAACAGACTAATGCTTCAATATAGGACTGTTCACTGAAATAACCCCTCTAGCTCCAATGGGCTTATGCAGCAATATAGGCCCGATGGCTTATAGGATCTTTTCCCTACGTATGTGTTAACATAATTTCCAAACACTGCAGATATTCGCAACCACAATGAACCACCACGTAAACGCCACCAATATTAGTGACAAGAAATTTTGAATCCAAAAGAATAAAACTCCAAACCTGAGGAGCTCCATAGCCATCCCCATACGGGCTCTGCCCAAGAGGGTGGAATCCAGTAGCCTCATTCTCCTTGTATCCGGATGCACCCCCATATGCTGTTGCGCCTGGTTACAAAATATGAGCAAAATATCATAATGATTTTCCAAGACAACTTCTAGTTGAAGAATAATACCAATCATGTGACAAGCCACTGATAATTGAGTTTTACTGGTTGCTTATTTACTAAGAACCATCAATACATGGTTAAAAAACTAAAAAAAAATTGCAGTCATTTTTTATTTGGTCGGAAATTTTGTACGCACCGCCACTCGATCTTCTTTCAAGGCTAGAGGCGTTAGCTAGCTCTGCCCGAAGCTTCTCCACCTCCCTTGTCATAGACATATAGTTCTTCTCCATCACCTGAAGCGACTCGACATGGTCATTATACAATTTTTTCTCGTAATCATAGGTAGCCCTGCAATTTAAGATCCCAGGAATCAGGCGTTAGATCTACCAAAATCAATTATTAGTACATTAATTAAAATTAATAAATGCAAAGAACATCCTTTTGTGCCCTCTCTAATCAACAAAGTCAGATCCCTAGTATCCTTTGGGGCCAAAAACCATAAACTTTGGCTACTCTCAATTTGATATTTTTCGTAACTGGCACTCCCTGTTGAATACGAGACCTCGGAGGATATCGCGGGATTAGAAGCATCCCAACTCAATTTTGACGGTTGCTCCCTTGGCAACCCAGGCCCCTCCGGTATACGAGCAATTTTCAGATCCCATATCGGCTCCATCCTACTTTCACTCTTCCACCCCAAAGGCACTGCTGATTCTTCACAAGCCAAGTGGCTTTGGCGTTGCTGGAAGGTCTTCGAAATTTCAATCCCATCCGAAGCTCTCAGCTGCTAGTCAAAGGAGACTCCTGGAATGTCGTGCTTGGGCATCTGGCGCAGCCCTTGAGACTACAACGCATCTTCGATGAAATCACACACCTGTGTGGAGACACACAGGTCCCTTGGCAGCATATTTATAGGGAAGCTAATGCAGCTGCCAATTGTTTGGCCAAGGACGGAGCCTTATCCAACCCCACCTCTGCAGCCTTGTCCATCTCTTGAAGACGTAGTCATTACGAGCTGTACCTAATACGGCTTTTTGGTTTCTTCCATTTTTGGGCCCTGAATGGTTTTTGTATAGGACAGCCACTTGAGTGGCTGTTTCAATTTTTGTACTCTCCTTTTATACTAATACAAAGAAAACAATTTCAAAAAAAAAAAAAGAATACGCTGAATAAAACAAAAAGGTGATAGTACTATTTGTATTATATGTAATTTCCACTGTCAAAAATGGTATTTCATGTGTACAAAATCCCACTAGGCTTGATGTTGCCTAGGCTAACCATAAAAATTTCATCGGGGGAAAGGGGTCTGGGGGTGCGAGGTGAGGGAACAAAAGAGACAGGGAAGAAAGAGGAAACATAAGGTGGAGGAAGGGCAAAAAATATTACGCCACAAAGATATTCTTAGTCTTGACTCTAGATGTTTGACCTTTAACAGTGAGCTGGGTTGGCCAAACTAAAAAATGCATGCTTTTCATTAGAAGTGGAAGATGGCCAAGAATAAGCCGAATCTGCCAAGTTTCTAAATTAAATATCACAAAAGTTAACAGTTCAAAAATGGTTCATTGCCATCAATGGAAGAAAACTGAAATGGGTCAGTTGCTATCTAAATGCTTTTCAATTACAAAAGGAAAAAAAGGCCAAAATATACCAAATCAGCCATATTCAACTATAAAAATTGTGTAATGGGTCACTGTTAAAAAGGCTTTCAGCCACTGAACAGAAAGAAACTGATATGGGTTTCAGTGGTAGCAAAGAGAAACCTGCAATGCTGATAATCCTGTCTGAGACCATCAAGCTCTGAGATCAAAGCAGGCACTTGCTGAACCTCTACATGGGTCCTCTGCAAATCCTGAGTCAGTTGCTGAACCTTGGAGAGTAAATCTTGCCTTATAGATAACAAGCTCTGAGCTTCAGTATGAGCTTGCTTCAACTCCGATTTCACAGGCTCTATACCTTGAAGATCAGCCTCCATCTTCCCTATCTTATCCAAGAGTCCCCTCATTTGCTGCTCTTTCTCAGCTTTCATGGCTCCAATATGAGACTGAAGCCTCTGCAACTCTTGTTGGGCCAGAGCAAGCTCCTGTCTAAGAGCCGCATGGGTGGCTGCAAGCCTCTGGTTTTCATTGGCTAGCCTCTGCATTTCCACGTGTTGGGCAGCAAGCTTTTGTTCCATGAGTTCAGGTGGTGGTAACATATCAAAAGGGGGGCGAAGACCCGGACCAAATGGGTCAGGGTGCATCATTGCTGGTCCTGGAAGAGGCCTCCTCATGTGAGGAGGTATCCGGCCTTTACTCCCCATTTGCAGTTTATCTATAAAGAACAATCTGTAGAGACCAAATGAGACGAAAAGGTGGTTAGATGATTAGGGAACCATGGTGGGTGAACTCAAGATCGAAATCAAATTATAGGGAATACTCAGGTGATTCACTACAAAGTAGATGATGAAACTAATTAGGGAAACAATACAAAGCAAATATAAGGAACAATCTGCAGCGAACACATTAGGAAGTATGGCAAAATGAGGGATGCCGAAGTAGGGAATCGTGACGTAGAAAGCCAATGTAAGAGATAATCACACGATATTGGTATAAATATCATGGCTATCGGCATATCAACCTTTTACGAGCTCCTTTGCCAACAAAGTCAAGGGAATACGAGCATCCATCGCACTGCAATCAAAGAGGCTCCTCAATCTCACTTTTTGTTTTCTTATTGACACTCTTTTCATTTTTCCACCCCCCTTAATTAAATAACTAGGATATTTTGGTCTGAATAGGCAGTAGGTCTCCAGGATGTAACACAAACAATGACAAGGAATTCCTCAACTACCAACACTTGCAAAGAAAAGAGATCAACATGAATATTTGGCAAGTAAATCAAAATATTCAAAATGAGGTTATGGCAAAATGTACAGCACATGGTATGGATGTAATATGATAATCAAAGCAAAGGTAAAGGTAAATATGAGTTTAACCCTAGTACTTTGTTGAAATAAGTAATACCCACTAGTGCGGTCCTAATTATATATCAGTTTCCCCGTGTCACCACCCCTTCCATTCAATGCTCTACCACTTGATTCTAAACATTTGAGTTTCAGTATATAATTTCATATTCAAGTTTTGGCCCATCTTTTCTCTCTTGTACAATGCAGTACAATCGTTGGAAGTTAGAACCAGCTTTTACATTTCTTTAACGAGCACTATGCTCAGCACCATCACTTCACTATTTCTATATAAATTCACCTCCCAGACATTAGCTATTTATTCTTCCAAGTTCGATCCTCAAGTCAGGCATAACTTTTACATGATATTCTAACATTTTCAATTTCCTCCTTTCACTTCACAGGTAAGTGGGCTTTGAAAGTCGAAGAATGACAAATAGGATGTCTATCTGGGCATGCATGTCAGTGATCACCTTAATATAACTATTTACATTGATGGGGGAACTTTATGAGCAAAACTCATGAAACAGAGGTATGGAGAATGTGTCTTAATCACCAAGAATGTGGTCTGCCCAAACTTTTGGGGCAGCAATTGATGGCTAGTTGCCAAAGATAATTTCTCACATGAAACCAACTTCAGAATAGGGGTTTCCATTTTCCAAATTTTTGTGTGGTTTGCCAAATGTCATGGAGATAATGGAACAGCTTAAAGCATAATCCCATATGCGTAAGAGCAGTCTATGAGAACATCCTAGGTTTCTTTGACATTACATGCTTTGTTAGTCTTCATCGTCAGGTTTCTCAATTCATGGATAGCAGACTTTTACTAAGGTGCTGCCAAATCTTAATGAGGTGCCACCTGCTTGCCATCTTTTGTTCATTTGCAATGCAGAGAGAAAGTAACCATAACACTTTTGGAGGGCTGAAGGCAGGAGGAAAGTGGTGCAAAAGTGTAGGCATCATACATAGAGAACTTACGAGGTTTGGGCAGAGGATCGAAAGCAATGATGTAACCACGAAGAATTTTGTGGGTGGCAAAGCCCAAAATAGAGAGCTACAGTGCATGGAGATACCGAATAGAAGAGTTTTCGGAATTTTATAAAGGTAGCACCTTTTGGTTACAGGGATCAAAGCAAGGTTTATCAAATGCGGGATGCTGACTACAGCACCACGGGTCCAATGCACCATGCACCTCAATTCCAAAGCATTCAACAAAAAAAAGGAAAAAAAAAAATTTATAAAAGATATAGGAAGACAAAGAATAACATGAATATGTGATTTATGTTATAGTAGGCCTTTTAATTCAGTATTTGTCTATTATGTATATCTTGTTTGATTCAATGATATCCTGATTAAAAGTAACACAGATATTTTCTGTCTCTATTCTCTAATGTAATTAACACATAAAATATATTGATCCAACCATTCACTAAATCAAATAAAATATCCATCAAATCAAAATATCAAATAATACACAAAAGAACACGTATTTTGCCAACCAAGCACTTAAAAATTTAACTACCATCTAGCAACTATGTATAGTGTAGGCCCGTAGCAAAAATGCCCTTTCCTCCAAATAATCCAAAAATTTGTCAAAATCTTTGAAACCAAAAAACAAAAATCAATTCGTGTTTTTTCAGTTTAATTCCCTCAAAACCATCAAAGATTGTTCTAAGGGGCTTTGGTGGGGTGGGAGCACCTATATCCCCCAACCCTAAACCCAGGTGCATATGGGGGTGCATTTCATTGCATGATGTGCCAACATATTTGGACGATTAGCGGCCTATGCTAGCGCATCATGCTAGCATGCATGGGCAGCCATGAGTGGTGCGGCCTTTTGATGCAGCTGCATTTGATAACAATGGATTGAAGTTCTGATTAGGGATGAACGGATGCCGCCAAAAAGGCTTACTGTAATTTCATTGGCATAACATTGAAGGTCTAAATTGCCTGATTGGGGATACAAAGATACAGGCAAAAGGGCCAATCTTGATCTGAAAGGCATTGCACGATCCTTGCCCAAGGTGGGGACTTAAGACATTTGCAACATCACTTACTAAAGTCCAGATAACGAGAAGGGCTCTCTTAATAGGATAATGATAAGATGGTCTAGTAAGGCAAGCAATGGTCCATGGTGTATCATGAATATTTTAGAAAGTTGTTACACTAAAAAAGTTCGCCGTCAAACACATTTAGATGGACTAAATAAAGTGGCTAATGCCCTGGCCCGGAAAGGGTCTTTAAAGTGAGTTAAAGAGTTTCCTGGATTCTTTCAGTTTCATATTGCTATGAACCTCTTGTAACCTTATTTTTCTGAAACGGTTTAGATACAAATCTAGAGAGAAAGAGTGTAATCGCAAAAACCGGTTCTGTGGACTAATGGAAAATTGAGATCCACAGGATCCTATCAAAATGCGAAATAAGAGAAACTAATCCCCTTTAATATGTAACTCTTGTATTATTATATCCTACAACGATAGGAGCTCATTCAAACAAAAAAGTGTAAAGTTTTGCAACTTAAAAATCACATTCCTTCAGAGAGCACATCTTGCCAAAGATGCAGACCTCGCAGAATTCACCACTAAAACCATTTGGTCATTCATCAAAAGTCAACCACACAAACCAGCCCAAGTCAGGAACCAAAGATTCAACTCCAAGCTCGTAATTTGATCATAAACATTCTCCAATTATGCACATTTAAATCTCAATTGTTAGCCTCCCACCTCCTGTGAAGCTTAGATGTACAACAATATGCTAGTTTGGACCCAAAAAATAGTATAATCAATAACAAATGCGTTAAGTTGAATTCTTTTCTTAACACACTCTCACGGTATCACAATGCCAAATACAAAACCAAACCTCTCATTTTAATGGCTAGCAAGTATAGATGAAAAGGCCCAAATCACAAGCTTCAAGACGCCATGCAGGAAGGACATAAAAAACCAGAAAGCATCCACATTTTACTTCATTTGCAAAATTGAAATGAAGTATCATGAAATTAATTCCAAGTGAAAGTGGCCTTACAAATATTAGACCATACACACAAACCAAGAAACCAACTCCCTAGTCATATATTATATTGCAACCTTGCAAGCATAGTAAGAGTGTAGCATCTGACTAAAAGGTCAATTACTTTGTGTATCTCACATGTTCATATTAAACTAAAGCTCAATGCACTGACAAAGGTCTTGCCATCTAGACACTTGATGACAAATTTAAATCTAATTCCAATTAGGAATGACAATACGATAAGAAGTGGAGGGAGGATCACACAGCGAGTTTTCCAGCAAGCCTTGCAAGGAGCTCTAGAAACTCCAAATAGTTACTTGAACACCGCCCCCATGGTTAGGGTGCAGAGCAAAGAATTTTGGAGGTTGGGACAAAGTTACCCATTTGAGCATTACACTGAAGAGGAAATGGGAATGAACTTCGGAAAGGAGATGAGCACAGGAAATGGAGAGAATCAGGTTTTTAGAAGCACAGCACGCACAAGTCGCAAAGAAGACGCATCTATGGATGAGATCTGAAAACGGAAAAGACTCTAGGAAAAAGAAGAAATCTTCTGATTACAGTTAGAGAAGATATGGTGAATGAGAGGCCAGAGATATTGAAAGCAACACTCCTGAGAAAAAAATATTCCTATTTTGAGGGAAAGGAGGGTTTGGCAGAATGTGCCATTATGTTTTCATTCTAAGCCCCGGAGGGAAGGCGGCAGATAGGGTGCTGAACTTGGCATGGTAGAGATTTAAAAGTTCATTGATGTCCTTATATCTGCAGAGTGCGGAGAGAACCTGATCTATGATCAAGTCATAGGGTGTGGATAAGAAAGACAAGAATCCTCTCGATGCCTGGACTTCTAATGTCTTGCGTACAATAGCCAAAATCAGGGGAAAGGTAATCAAGCTAGACTGGAAGATGATTGCAGGCGTGATAATGGAAATGTATGCGCAATGGTAGAAACAGCAAATCAAGAGCATAGCCGAAACTGTTGATCTGGGTGTTAGACATAGAGAGTGCATGGCCCCAATCCTAGTCAAAGACATGAAGACAAATCATGTGACTAAGTATCGAATAGACGAAGGGCTTGACAAGCATGCAAGAGAGATGCAGAAAAAGAATGTTAGGAGGTCACACAACAACCATATCATGGAAGGGGAACAGAAGAATGATGAGTCGAGAGGGGACAGACTTGGAGAATGAAACCAGAGCAGAGAACTGGGGTGAAAGACGTGAAGACAGGCCATCAAAAAAAGGACACGTGGCCAAGAAATAGCGGAAGGGGTGACCCAGGACGGACACATGGTAGAGACCTGAGACCATCCTCCTGAGGTCGTACATTGAAAGGCCACAAAATAAGAATAGACAGGACAATTTGTGCCCAAA